AACAGTCCATTATCCCGTGTACTGACCCCAGCACTGGGCCCTTCACCTCCTCCCATCCCAGAGGGGACCGTAACAGTCCATTATCCCGTGTACTGGCCCCAGCACCAGGCCCCGCACTTTCTCTCAGCACCATAAACAGTATCTCGTCCACCTTAGTGGATGAGCTCAGCACCCTCTGATGACCAAAATGCTGGCACCCCAGACCCAGGCACGGTTGTGCAGAGGAGACCTGGTGGTCAGCTCCCGTCCTCCCCCACAGGCTCGGGGGTGAGTCAGAGCCACCCTCAGCGGCGGCTGGGCTCTCTTGCCTTGAGAGGAGCAGGGGTTAACGGTTCATCCACTGCGGCTGGACCGCTCCCAGCTGCTCTGAGGGACGAGGGGCTGGTGATATGATCCCTCGTTGCCATTGTTGTCAGCTGCCATCAAGCCAACTGCGACTCCCAGTGCCCCTGTCGGCTCAGATGTGAGCCTGCCCTGGCCAGCTAGGCCTGTCCTGTGCCATCAGCTCCGAGCTGCCCCAGCCCGTTGCTGCAGTTGCTGTGTGAACCCACCTGACTGAGGGGCCTCCTCTCCTCGGCCATCCTTCCGCCCACCACACCACGATGTCCTCGCAAAGGACTGGCCCTCCTGACAACATGCCCAAGGATGTGAGACGGCGTCCACCAACCTCGCCTCTGCGGAGCATCTGGCTACACCTTTTCTCAGGACACACTCGCTCGTCCTCTTGGCAGTCCACATGACAGTCAGTCCTCCCCACCAACACCGCAACAGGGAAAACCAGCTCTTGGGTCATACTTACTCATCGTGCAACTCTGACGCAAGGAAGCAACTGAAAAGACGATGACTTGAGGTGCACCTTAGTCTTTAAAGTGACATCCTTGCTTTTGAGCACTTTGGAGAGGTACTCGACAGAAGATTTTTCTAATGCAACATGTCTTTTGATTTCTTGACAGCTGTGGGTGTTGGTTATTCTATGGGATTATCTGTTCCCATAAACGTTTCAAAACAAACCCAATGCTGTCAGTCAACTCGCAGTGAGCTCCTCGGGGCCTCTGAGGTCATAAACCTTCACGGAAATAGATGGTCTTGTCTCCTGAAGAGCAGCCGGGCTTGAAAGGCTGGTATTTGGTGAGCAACTGGACACTTTAACCCTGCACCACCCAGGCTCCTTGCCATCAAGACCACAGCCTAGGACCCCTCCAGAGCTGTCCTGCTCTGTCCATAGAAGACACCCTTGTCCCAGATCCAAGCCATCACTGAGTGTGGGCGCATCACCCTGAGCTACTGCACGGTCCTCGGCCCCCTGAGCCTCCATTTCCCACCGCTGGCCACGGGGGTCTGTCCACGGACTTTCTGGCCAGTGGCCAGCGAGCCCAGGGCCCACCTGCTGCCAGGTCATCTGCTCTCCGGGCTGGTGACATGAGGACAGCTGTCATTGCAACAGGTGTGGTGACAGAGGACAGCCTCCAGGCCGCCCTGTCCTCCCTCGCCCCCCCCCCATTAATTCAGGAGGCGAGATGCCAAGAGGGGACCTGAGGACAGAGATCTCCACCCTGAAAAGCCATGATGGTAAAGTACACGGAAGGGCAATGGCGTGGACACCACAGACTCATCTCCGTGACATTGATGACCCCAGCATGTGGCCCATTTCTGTCTCCGGACAGGAGTCAGCACCCTGCCAGTTGGGACGTCCCTGACCTCTCCAGCCCCTGGTCATCACGGCTCGGTGCTGGTCTTTATAATTGGCCTGTCCGAGGTAGCCTGGTTGCAATGCTCATCCAAAGGAAAGCAGTTCAAATCCACCAGCTGCTCCGAGCGAGAAAGATGGGCAGTGTCCTGTGTGAGAACCCACCGGAGGGTCAGCTATGAGCGGGCTCCCACCCGACGTAAATCAGTTAATGTGTGTCCTAAAGACGAAGCCACGTGTGCTGTGAACCAAGCGGCCAGCAGCTCCCATCCACCGGCTGGTCCCCAGGAGGAAGAGCAGCGGCTCCTTCAGAGATTCACAGTCTCAGGGGACCGGCTGGGGGCAGGGGAGGGTCTCGGTGCAGTGGACAGGAGTCACAGTGACGTGGTGGTGTCCACCGCTGAGATGGAACCACTCACCTCCAGCAGGTTTTCAGAGGCTGCAATCACAGGATTGCCTGTGCGTCTCCCTGTGAGCAGCTGGTGGATTTGAACCGTGTGCCTTTGGGTTGA